GTGCCTCAAGATTTAATTATGTCCAATCATATCCAAAGCATTATCTATTTCAACAATGTTCTTTCTATTGAACATTCCTCTACTCAACACCTTACTCAAATCATTCATTACCTTTATATAATCCTCACCACTTACTTGTTTTTTTATTTTCTTCCAGGCGAGATGGTTAAACTTGACAATTATTTTTACTTTATTCTTACTCGAATGTTTTTTGTAAACTTGTTGTTTATTGTTGGTTAAAATAAAAAATAAAAACTTTATTATTTCCTTTCCTTACAGACGATTATTTTATTCACACTATTTTTACCTGGTTGTCTTCCAACTGGTCTGCTAGTGATGTCTAATAGCAACTGGCCAAATTACAATCGAGTGGTGGGTGGGTCACAGTCAAGTACAAACAAGCCATTCACTGCCAAAGAACAAATATAATCATTCTTCCCGATCAAGTACTTTAACCTCACCCTCTTGATTCAAATGACATAACCAAAAGACTTAAAACATCACCTACTTCGTATAACACACGTATATTCACATAATTGTTCATACATGTATACATTGTCATAGCATAATCAATTCCATAAATTTACCAATGGCTCAAGCAAATCATTTGCCCATATTAACTATAGCCTCTTCTGTAAGCCATCTAATGCTTGTGGCTTGTGTTTCAATTACATAACGTTAGTCCAAAAATGTCAGCTTCTATTTATTTGAACACTCGGGGAAAAACACAATTCTATTATCAATGTCACGTTTATATTGCGCTGGTCCCGCTAACTCTGGATCGTAAAGTTCATAGTCCATTGGTGTGTATGCATCAAGTAAACATTGAATCAGTTTCCATACCATGCCCGCAAAATTGTCTCATAATGCAGAGATGTGTGATATAATTACTGTATTTATTAACATTATTAAAAAATGTAAACTAAGTGTGCTCGTGAAGTTCATGGAATTTAATCAGTTATCATGAGTCAGTACCAAGTATAAATATCAAATCAATCTATTGTGTAACATAATAGTTTTGATTCAATAATTAATAATAAATCTTATACATGAGTATGCATTTCCAGCTAATCCGCTAATATAGCTTGAGGGTAATTATCACAGAGTCATCGTTTCGGTGAAATACCTTTCAGTTCAAATAATTCTCCGAAGCAAACACAGTGTCACTGTTTTGATGTTATCGA